ACGGAGGGAGCCGGTCTGAAAAAACAGTAGGTCTGGGCCAGGGATGTAGCTCAGTGATAGAGCACTGACCTAGTCTGCACAAGGTCCTGAGTTCAATCCCAGGTACCACAAAAACAAAAACAAAGCAAAACAACAGGGCTCTGTGGGTTGCCAGCGTCCCCTTGGGTTCCAAGCTGCCTTTGATTCAAGATGACATCAAATCAAAATGATGCCAAGCACAGACTTCACCAGCCTGCGAGAACCTGTAGGAAGGGCAGCTCTGGGAAGCTGCCGCGCTTGCAGCAGCCCGAGATGGCAGCGCATCCCTGGCTCCCCCTAGGGGACGCTTCCTGCAGCGCAGGCCGCCCCCGGGAAGCATCCCAAGGGGACACACTGGGAGACCGCTTACAGGCGCGGGTCCAGGGGACCGGGAGCGACGCAGACCACAGGCGATGACTGCCAAGCTCCTGGCCCACAGGCTGCCCAGAGTCCCTACCCTCCACCAGTGCGCGCGGGCCTTTGGGCATTATTTATGGGCGCTCGATATCCGTAGGTCTGTGGGCTCTTGATAGAGGGTTCATCGCAGATCCAGGTGACTTTGCCCAAGGCCACATGACACATCAGTGCCAGGAGCAGCATCGGTGCCCTAGAGCCTGTGCCTGTGACTCCGGGCCCCCAGTGCAGAGCTTGTCCCACTGTAGCTCGCAGCTTGGGACTCACAAGAGGCCCAGAGAGTGGTTAATGCGAACTGCGATTGTCCCTGCTTTCTGCCTGCTAACCGTACACTTTTCTTTTCTTCTTTTGTCTTTTTGAGACAGGGTCTTGCTATGCATTTCAGGCTGGCCTTGAGCTCACTTTGTACCCAGGCTGTTCCCCCCCCACCCCCCACCCCACCCCCACCCCCGGCTGGTTTTGAATTTGCAATGATCCTCCTGTCTCAGCCTCAAGTCCTGGGATTACAGGCGCGCACCACCCTGCCCAACTAATCTGTACACTTCATCCTTCCATCCAGCACATTTGCTGAGCACCCAGTACTGGCAAACACTAGCTAGGCATTGCTTCGGGTTCTTTTTGTTTTTTGAAGTTGGGTCTCACTGTGTAGCCCCGGCCAGCCTCAAACTCACGTCGATCTTCCTGCCTCCACCTCCAGAGCTGGGGTCACAGTGCGCACTTCCACTGCTCCTCAAGCCTATGGACCCTTTTGCAAGACTCTTCTGCAGGCGACACCAGGGTATGTGAACCCTGGACCCGAGGCCTCCTGCCCTCCAGCCACTCCTGCAACTTCCTCCCCACGTGCTGAGCCTTGGGCCCTGAGCCCTGAGTCCCGAGGTGCCCAGTTTATCTCTGGCTCCCTCCCGCTGGTTGAGGTAATCCAGAGGATGGAAGTGGGTTAGAGACAGATTACTCTGATCCACTGGTTTTTGCTCTCTCCTCCCTGAACACAGCAGGGCACGGGGTGGGGGTCACAAAAGGCCTGAAATTCCCTTTCAGGATCATTGTTTGATTTAGCCAACGAGGTGAAAGTGGAGGAGAGGAGGCGATGGATCCATTCCAGACCTGCGCCCCCACCCCCAGGATCGCACTGGGGGGACCTAGGCTGCTTCCCTGGTTGAGGCTTCTGAGCTGCACCTTGGAACCAGGAATCTGGGGCCGGTGGAGCTGCAGCTTTGTTCCCCACAGCAGGCGAGTGGGAGGAGGGAAGAAAGGAGCAGCCTGGAGGACTCTGCACAGCACAGGAGTGCAGAATCACTTTGGGTCCTGGAAACTGCCTGCTTGGGGCTTTAGCTAGGCACAGATCCGAAGGCTGGTTAGGGGAACAGAACTAGCACAGCGCTTTCTGAGGGCTTCTGGTTCACAGGTCTCCTGCCTTAAGGACAGTGCCCTAGGAGGGACCTTGGGGACCGGGATGCTATGTGCGCACAGCACCAAGTCCAGATCCAATTCCCAGGATACTGCTTGGTTCCGCGTCTCCCACTCATGACCACCGTGAGACCTAGAAGCAGGAGCTGTTACCTACCAGAGTGGGACTATATATTAAGTCATTTAACTGTAAGGACTTAATGACAATTCTGTGAGTTGTGTATTGAGTTACCCTCTTTGTAAGTGTGAGGAATACACATGAAAATGCAAACTCAAGCCAAGATGGTGGTGCACACCTGAGATCCCAGCATTTGGGAGGCCGAGGCAGGAGCATTGCTGTGAGTTCCAGGCCAGCCTGGGATATATACAGAGATCCTGTCTCAAAACAAAAATTAACTCAAAAGTAACATTCTTCTTTTGTTTTGTTTTGAGCTGGTGTCTTGCTATGTACTCTAGGCTGGCCTGGAACTTCCCACAATCCTCCTGTCTCAGCCTCCCAAGGGCTGGAATCACAAGTGTGAATAACCACTTGACTGCCCCACTGTTTAGAACTGAATTCTTTAAATTCCCCAGAGTTCCTATCAGCTGTGCTTGTTCTAGATGTGGTCACTTGGCAAAATTTCACACATTATGCTGAGATCTGTGATGTATGCCTGTAATCCCAACACTCTAGAGACTGAAGCAGGGAGACTGCCGTAAGTTCTGTGTAGTGCAAGCTGGTCTGGAACTGGTGTTGAGCCTCTTGCCTCAGCATTCCTAGTGCTGGGATTACAAGCATGTGCCTCCATGCCCGCCCAGTGACTGTTCTTGTCAGGGTGAGCTGTAATTGTTGATCTCCTGCAGCTACATACAGTCCTCTTCTCTTGCTCCTATCAACAAGGCAAGATCTTTCTGTGTAGTTATTTTGGAAATCCCTTCACTTCCTCAGCAGTGTCCAGTTATCTGGGTATTAACGAGGCAGGAAGACAAAATTAAGTTTCTAAAACTTGGTTAATCAAACAACATTTATTTACAAACATTCATTTATGATCTATCTTCTAATGAACTAAACGGTATTTCTTCCACTGTTATTTTGGTCTAGGCTGATGTGGAACAAATTGCATTACTTGAGAATCTGATCAGAGGGTGATAAGAAACATTCAGAGTATGGTGGCATATGCTTGTAATTCCAGCACTCGGGAGGATGAGGCAGGAGGATCACTGTGAGTTTGAGGCCAGCCTAGACTACATAAGCAAGTTCAAGGCCAACCTGCATTATTATATAGTGAGAACTTGTCTCAAAATAACCAAAAACCAACTTATTTATTTGGACTAATCTGTTCAAGAAGCTTTCCTCACTTCAGTAGGTAGACCAGCAACAAAAAGTTTAAGTTTTATTAACTAAGTAATAGAGTGAACAATTTGTTTAAGAATAATTCGGTGTCTCTCATGTAAATGCTTAATACACTTTCTTTAATTAACATCCATATATAGCTTATTTCATGTTACAATTAATGTGTTATGCTACAGATTCAGGGCTGTGGTTAGCATTTGTGAGCAAATTTTTGCCCTTCAAGAATTTTTAGTACTGGTAAGAAGTTAAGATTTTAAAAACATACGATCTTCAAACCCACAAGCAATCAGTTTATCTGATGGCCTCTTGCACTTTACTCTGATCTTTGTAAGCAACTCTTCACCCTGAGAGCAGGACCATAGCTCCTAACTCATTGTGAAATATTATGGGTAAGTGCTCTACAAATACCGATTGGTAGAAGAAGAACCAATGACGAAGTTTGGAAAGCGCTTGCCATTCATTAATGTTTACTGAGCTGGATTTTCCAGGACAATTCCAACACTATGATGGCTTTAACAACTCCATGTTAAGCAGTTCACCGACTTGGTTAAGAACATGGGTTCCGGCTGGATGTTGTGTGGATGTTGTCTGTCATCCCAGCAATCAGGAGGCTGAGACAAGACGATCCCTGTGCGTTGGAGGCCAGCCTGCGCTATAAAGTGAGTTCAAGGCCGACCTGAACTGCACAGTGTAACCCTGTCTCAAGAAGCCAAAAAGGGCTAGGGCTTTAGTTCAGTGGCATAAGTGCCTGCTTGGCAGGAGTAAGATCATGAGTTCAATCCCCAGTACCAAAACAAAACAAAACAATAGCCCCTCTCCCCAAAAGAAAGAAAAAAGAACTAAAGAGCAGACAAACTGTCTGGAATTGAAATGTGTGTCTCCCTTTAATCTTGACTACTACAGAGGCTGAGGCAGGAGGGTGACAAGTGCAGGACAGCCTGAGCACTTTAGTGAGACCCTGTCCCAAAAAGGTCTGGGGATGCAACTCAGAGCTCCCTGGGTTCAGGGGAGGGAGAGGAGCCAGGAGGGGGGAGGGAGCGTGTGTATTGGACTGCTTGGTTTGAATCATCTGCAGGTTATCCACTGTCTGGTCTGAATAACTTTCGTATTTAATTTCTCTGCAACACATACGCCGAACGGGAATGCGGTTTTTTGTTGTCAGGATCGAGTTCACGTACAGAGAACGCTTAGGACATTGCCAGCCACCTGGTAAGCAATTTTTTTTTTTTTTTGGTCTTTTTCGTTTTTATCGGTACCGGGGACCGAACTTATGACTGCCTGCTTTCAAGGCAGGCACTTATGCCGCTGAGCTAAATCCCCAGCCCCTAAGCAATTTCTAAATATATCATCTACTTTAAATTTGTTATGATTAAGTCCATGACTTTTCCAAAACAACAAATCACAACTGCTCGGGCTCTTCTCCGTGCCCTCTGCTTCAGCACTCGGGATCATTCCCCAGCCTGACAGTTTTCTGCACCGGGCAGACACGGAAATCTGGGCTCTGAGTTAGGGTAAACTAGCAGCACCCTGAGGTCAGATACAGACCCAGCAGCTATTTTCGCTTCCGCTCCTTAGGGGATCCAAGTGCCTTCAATGTACTCCGGGCACTGGGAAGAAACACCTGTCTCGACTCCGTGGCTTCAGGTAGAGACACACACTTTCATTTCGTAACGGATGTAAACAAAACGCAGCGATTCAGCGCTTCCGGCCAGCGTCGCGCGCAGGCGCAGATCGAGCTCAAGCGCGCTGGGGCTGGCGCGTGACAGTCGTGCGCTTCCTTCACCCCCAATTTGGTGCCATTGCGCACGCGCCATTGGCCTGCCCCTCCTCCTCCCGCGAGCATGTGTGCGTTCGCGCGGTTCACATTTCGGCTGAGGCGCGCGCCCTGGAAAATTCCACTCGCCTGCTGGCTCCGCCCTGTGAGTCTTCTCACGCTCTGCTCCCGTCCCGGCAGCCTTTTCGTCAACAAAATGGCAACTCCCGTGACGCGGGGCTTGACTTGCTTAACGAGGGCTTTGGGATGGTGGTCGCGACAGGTGGGTAGGGACGGGGCATATAGGACTCCTAGGACTGCCTGGGAAGAATTTTGTTTTGTTTTTTGAGACAGGGTCTCGTTATGTAGTCCAGGCTGACCTCGAACTCAGGGATCCTCCTGCTTCAGCCTTCCGAGTACTGGGCTTACAGTTGTGCGCCACCACGCCCTGCGTGGGAGAGGTGTATGGGACTTCGTACTGGGCTTAGTGGCGCAGTTTGAAGAGCCTAGACGGGCCTGGGGAGAGAGTGTTCGGAAATGAGCTTTCTTAAATTTGATTTGGGGCTGTCTGGAGAGACGAGTTATTAAAGGGGCAAGACCTAGGAAATGTCCTCTTTGATTCTTACCAAGCTTAGATTGAACAGTAGCCGGAAAAGGGAGTCTCGTAGTGATTGTCACAGTCCTTACCAGAGTAAAGCTCGTGATCAGAAGAAAGTCACCTTGCTTTGAAAAAGCAGACGGGTCAGTTGGGGGCTGGCACTTCGGGGTAGTTTAGGTGAGACTCCCCAGAGAGCAAAATGAAGTCTTAACGCGGAGGAGGTGCCAAGATGAGGATTCCGCGTTGCCTTGGTTCCATCGCTCCACAGTGAGGAAAAAAGAAATTTTAGAAGTCGGGCATGGTCGTGCACACCTGTCATCCCAGCACGGAGGAGGCTGAGACAGGAAGATCGCTGCGAGTCCTAGCCCAGCCTTGGCTACATAGGGAGTTCAAGGCCAGCCTGAACTGCATAGCAAGATCTCAACTCAAAAAATAAATAAAAGAAATATTCCTGTCATTTTGGCCATGGGTTGGTATCAAATGAGATGGAAAGTCCCTTGAACTGATACCTTGCTTTAATGACTGGTGTCCAGCAGTACTGGGAGTGTAGTAAAGAAAAACCTGGGGGCTGGGGATTTAGCTCAGCGGCATAAGTGCCTGTCTTGTAAGCAGGCAGTTGTGATTTCAATCCCTGGTACCGATAAAAAGGAAAAAGACAAAAAAAGAAAAAAAAAAACCTTTAGTAAATGGCAGGTGATGTTAATAAGATCGGCAGGGTATCTGTTAGGAGATGTCTCAAAAGTGTTGGGGTAGTCGCAGATCTTTCCCGGTGATAATTATTTTATAAAATTTCCTGGAGGGGCTGGGGATTTAGCTCAGCGACATAAGCACTTGCCTTGCAAGCAGGCGGTGGTGAGTTTAATCCCCGGTACCAATAAAAATGAAAAAGACAAAACCCCCCCAAAAAAAACAAAACAAAAAACCTTTCCTGGAACATTGTTTAGATATTTCTGTAAGGCTTTGGTCAGAGTTTATTTGAGATGGGGTTTGGGGCCCAGGTTACCTGTATCCTAACCTTCCCCTCACCTTTCAGCCCATCCTGGTGACTCAGTCCACCGCTGTGCTTCCAGTAAGAACTAAAAAACGTTTCAGACCTCCTCCTCCTAAGGAATCCAAGTACCAAACGCAAAAGGAATTTCTAGAACATGCCCGGAAAGCAGGGTTGGTTATTCCTCCAGAACGTTTGGAGCGTCCCATCCATCTGGCCTGTACAGGTAAGGTACAGTACCTTCTGGTACAGGGAATTGAACTTACCACCTGGCACTTGGTACTTTGTCCCAGTTTCCCTCTGTCCTGTGGAATGTGGGCTGTGATTGACAGCATTAAATTCACCACTAAGCTCAATCTCAGTAACAATTTATATATTACGTAGTGTATGACGTCATCTTGGATGTTTTCATACTTTACAGAAGAGTGAAATTTTCCCATTAGGTAGAGCAGAAAAAGGTGCTGAGAGTAAACTTAAATTGTTCTATTTTTTTCAGTGGAACATGGTTCCCTCTACCTTGCGGAGTTTGTTTATCGTCTTTCTGTACTGGGGATTGAACCATGAGTCTTCTCACAAGGCTAAATCCTCAGCCCTTTCTTAATTTTTTTTTTGAAACAGGGTCTCATTATGCAGTTCAGGCTGACCTTGAACTCACTGTGTGCCCCAGGCTGGCCTTGAACTGGCAAGGATCCTCCTGCCTCAGCCTCCTGAGTGCTGAGATGACAGGAGTGTGCCACCACACCCACCTTTGTTTTTTCTTGATTTTTTTGAGACAGACCGTCATTAAATTGTTAAGTTGCTCAGACTGGACTCAAACTTGTGACCCTCCTGCCTCTGCTTCCATGACTTTAGTCAAGGTCACCATACCCACCTCACTGAAGTCTGTTGGAGCAGTTTACACGTACGTCCAGGATCCTTCCCAGTGTTGCCTGCCCCGATGACCTTGCCTCAGTCTTGCAAACCTGTTGAGTTCTCTGTCTCCCTCCAGCTGGTATCTTTGACGCCTATGTTCCTCCTGAGGGTGATGGACGCTCCTCGTCTCTTTCAAAAGAAGGTCTGAAGCAGAGAACAGAGCGGCTGAAAAAGAATGTGACATCGCAATTGTCGTAGGTGTCTGACCACTAAGAGTGCTATTGGAATAGAAATTTCTTCTTACTTTGGGCCAGAGAGACCTTGGGGTTGGGTGGAATGCCAGTGACTTAATGGTGTTTTCTTTCTCTGTCATAAGATCTGTAAGGGGGGGTGTAAGCGCCTGCTGGCGAGCATGAGGTCATGAGTTTGATTCCTGTACCAAAAAGAAAAGAAAAAAGACGTAGAGTCTGTCTTTTTTTCTTTTTTCTTTTTTTTTTTTTTTTGAGACAGGGTCTTACTATGCAGTTCAGGCTGGCCTTGAGCTCACTTTGTAGCCCAGGCTGGTCTTGGAAGTCTCAATGATCCTTCTACCTCAGCCTCCCAAGTGCTGGGATTACAGCTGTGTGCCACCATGCCTGGTTCATGTACTTTTAAAATAGTGAGGGGCTGGGGATTTAGCTCAGCGGCATAAGCACCTGCCCTGCAAGCAGGCAGTCGTGAATTCAATCCCTGGTACCGATAAAAAATGAAAAAGACCAAAAAAAAAAAAAAAAAAGACACTGTCTCACTGTGTAGTCCAGGCTGGTTTTGAACTCTCAGTGATCCTCCTACCTCAGCCTCCTAAGTGCTGGGGTGACAAGTGTGTGCCACCATGCCCAGCTATTTTTTATGTTGATGGACTATTTTCTTCAGCAGGATGCATAATAAATAAATAAGTTTTTTTTTTTTTTTTTTTGTCTTTTTGAGACAGAGTCTCTCTATGCAGTTCAGGCTGGTCTCAAACTCGCAACAGTCTTCCTGCCTCAGCCTCCTGAGTGCTGGGATTACAGGCATGAGCTACCACACCCCATAAATAAAGTCTTAAAAATCTAAAATTAGGGGGCTGGGGATTTAGCTCAGCGGCATAAGTGCCTGTCTTGCAAGCAGGCAGTCGTGAGTTCGATCCCTGGTACCGGTAAAAAGGAAAAAGACAAAAAAAAAAAAAAAAAAAGGTAATAAAATTAGGGGGCTGGGGATTTAGCTCAGCGGCATAAGTGCCTGCCTTGCAAGTGTGTGGTCGTGAGTTCAATGCCTGGTACAAAAAATAAAATAAAATAAAAATAAATAAAAAGTCAAAAATTAAGGAGCTGGGGATTTAGCTCAGCAGCGTAAGCGCCTGCCTTGCAAATGTTCGCTCGTGAGTTCGATTCCTGGTACCGAAAAAAATGAAAAAGACAAAAAAAATTTTTTAAAAATAAAAAGAAAATCTAAAATTAAGTCTTTTTTCTCTCCTACTTCCTACTTCATTTGTGATTTGCCCAGGTGTAGAATTGTGGACTACAGATAATTTTTCTCATTTAAAAGTATTGTTCCAAGCTGGGCATGTGGTGTATATTTCTTTTTTTCTTTTTCTTTTTCTTTTTTCTTTTTTCTTTCTTTCTTTTTTTTTTGGTGTCCCTAGGTGGGCGTGAATGGTGTATATTTCTAATCCCAGCACTTGGGAGACTGAGGCAGGAAGATCACTGAAGTCAAGGCTAACCTTCGTTGTATAGCAAGACCCTGTCTCAATAATCTTAAAAAAAGATTGAAGTAATACTCCAAGCTGGGCAAGGTAGTACGTGCCTGTAATCTCAGCTTTTGGGAGGCTGAAGCAGGAGAACCTTGAGTTCAACCAGCCCATGCAGTTTAACAATTTAGAAATTTTATAAAGAGCTGGGGATGTGGTTCAGTAGTAGACCACTTGCCTGGCATGTGTGAGGCCCTGCATTCAATCCCCAGTGTTGCCAAAAAAAGAAAAGAAAAACCACTGTTCTGTTGTCTTTGTAATTTTTAGTGTTGCTATTTAAAAACCCAGGGTCAGTCTGACTTTTGAGCCTCTTTGTATGAAACTTGTTTTTCTTCCTGCTTTGATTTTGTGTTTTTCTGTTTTTGGTGCCGGGGCCTGCTGCACACTAAACATGAGCTCTTCCTTCAGGCTGCACCTCTAGTCCTTGCTTTTTCTTCTATATATTTTTTTTTTTTTTGGTACTGGGAATCGAACTCATGACCTCACGCTTGGCAGGAAGACGCTTATGCCACAGAGATGTATCCCGACCCTGTTTCTTCTTTTGTAGTGCTTAAGGAGTATCTTCTGTGATCTCAGAATCCTGAAATTTACCTTTGAGAAGCCTCAGCCTATCTCAGAGTGATTGATTTGAAAGTTAGAGGGGGGCTGGGGATTTAGCTTAGTGGCATAAGCACCTGCCATGCAAGCATTCAGTCGTGAGTTCGATCCCTGGTACGGGGGGTGGGGAGAGTTAGAGGGTTGAGTTTAGAGGACTTGATACATTCAGGAGATAATTATTGACTAAATAGAGATCCGTGTATGCTGTGAGTTACAGGAATTGTGTGAAGATTTTTAAAAGGGTGATACTGCTTAACCCCACAGGGTCCGGAAGATTAAAGAATATGATACTAGTTTTAAGATAAAGGACTTCCCTGAAAAAGCTAAGGATATCTTTATTGAAGCTCACCTTTGTTTAAACAAGTAAGTAAATGCTTTCTTGTATGTCTTTCTTCTCCAGTGCTATTGTTCCAGGCACTGTTAGTACAGTGCCTGGAATACAGACTTTTTTCTTTGTCTTTTTGAGAATAGGGTCTCGCTATGTAGCCCAGCCTGGTCTCCAACTCATGGTGATCCTCCTGCCTCAGCCTCCTGACACCTGGGATTGCAAGCATACGCCACCACACCTGGCTTGATCCTTTCCTTTTCCTTCAGTTTCCAGTTCTAGAGTGAAAGAGGAAGTAATTAGTGACTGGTGCTGTCTTTGCTTCCTCTCACTGTTCTGGAATTTTACCTGTCAGCACTCGTGTAGAATGCTTGATTCAGTCAAGTCAGAGTTTCTAGAGTGATAAAAGGAGTAATTTTGTCGGGGATTTAGCTCAGCAGCATATGCGCCTGCCTGACAAGTGTAAGGTCATGAGTTTGTTCCCCTGTACCAAAAAGAGAGTAATTTTTAGAATAATATTTTGTTTGTTTCTTTGAGACGAGAGGGACCCTGGAGGGACTACCTGTGGCACTGGAGTAATCTTCAGCTCTCATCCTTGGGCTGTAGCTGCCGTGTTTTGAACAGTGGTTACTATGACTCTCGGGTTGGGCTTAAAACCTATACTCTAAAATCCATGAATTCTTCTTTCTTACTTTTTTGTTTTTTATCTTTTGGAGACAGGGTCTCTCTGTATAGTTCAGGCTGGCCTTGAACTCACTTTGTAGCCCAGGCTGGCCTTGAATTCATAGTGATCCTCTTGCCCCAGCCTCCTGAGTGCAGGACTACAGCCATGGCTTTTTGTTTGTTTGTTTGTTTTGCAGTACCAGGGTTCAAACTCATGACCTCATGCTTGCCAGGCAGGCGCTTATGCCACTGAGCTAAACCCCAGCCCTGTTGGTTTGTTTTGAAACAGGTTCTCCATGTATGGTTCAGGCTGGCCTCAAACTCACATGTCTCCTGCCTCAGCCTCCCGAGTGTTGGGATTATAGCTATAATCTAGCCTTTGTGCCTGGCTAGAAATATTTTTTTTTATTGTAAGATACTTCAAACATTAAAAAAGTAGGATTCAGAATCATAAATATTTATGTTTTTCCATTTGTGCTTCAAAATCCTAAATAGAGAAGGAATACATTTTGTTTTGTGTTGGTGGGGGGTAGATGCCAAAGCTCCATCTCCATCTCCTGCGTTGTTCCTTCCCAGGGGCGAGTGTCAGCCTCGCTGTCCTCACTCAAGCCTTGTGCTTTCCCACGTGAGTACCTCTGTCGACAATGTGCTGTACAGCTGGGCGTGGTGGTACGCACCTGTGATCCCAGCCTGTGGAGATCGAGGCGAGGAAGGTCATTGTGGGTTCAAGGCCAGCCTGCTTCAAGAAAAAAGGAAAGATGCTTTCTGCAGGTAGAGAGTTAAGTTGATGGTTACATTCCATCAACATTTTGGAGACAGCTTCTTTTTGATGCTCTGGTATTGAACCCTGTGCCTGCAGGTGGAGCTGTCTCCCCATCCCATTTCATTGTTTAATGCTGAAACGGGCACTGCTAAGTCACTAAATTGCCTGGGCTGGGCTCAAAGCCCTTGTGCTTCCGGCTGGCAGTGCTGAGATTACAGGTGCGCACCGTTACACCTAATTGAGTGTTTGTTTTTCTCTGGCTGCTTTTAAGACTTTTCCTTTCCCTTTAGTATTCAGCAGTTTATTATGATGTACCTGTCTGTGTGTGTGTGTGTGTGTGTGTGTGTGTGTGTACACATGGGTGTGTTTGGGGTTCCTGTTGCATTTTTTGGCTCTTTTTTTTCCTTCTAAAGAGAAAAATAAAATTCCAAAACAAGTTAATAGGAGGGTAGCAATGGTTAATACATAGTGTATTGTCTTCAGTTACACTGCCGGGTGTGGTGGCACGGTCCTGTAGTCCCAGCACTCAGGAGGCTGAGGCAGGAGGATCACTGTGAGTTCAAGACCAGCCTGGACAACAAAGTGAGCTCAAGGCCAGCCTGCACTGCATAGCAAGACCCTCAAAAAAACAAATAAGTAAATATATAAATAAGTTAGTTACTCAGATTATAAAATGTACACCTTTAATTGTCCAAAAATATTAGCAGAAACCTTTTTTTTTCTCTCTCTAAATTTTTTTTGGGGGGGATTGAACTCATGATCTTGTGCTTTCCAGGTAGCCTCTTATGCCGCTGAGCTAAATCCCTGGCCCAGAAACTTCTCTTTTCAATGAACTAAAAGAAATTATTAGCATAACGATCATGTATATGTGTGTGTGTATGTTTTCCTTTTCCTTTCCTTATATCTGGTTGGCTCCCCAAGCCTCATGCAGTCATGGTGGTGGCTGAGTCTAGCATTTCTGATTGGTTTACTGTCTAGCACTGGGATTGGTGGTGAGTGTGGCAGCTGCCCAGGGGCAGGGGGCTGGCATATGATATAAGGGAGGGAAGGAGGTGCCTTTTCCCCCTTTCCCCTTTTTACCCTATTTGCTCGTTGCCTGTAACCAGTGTGAACCTTGCTCTTAGCCACACTACCCTGCCTTGGAGAAGCTGAATATGGACTGAAACCTCTAAAAACCATAAGCTAAATAAAGCCTTCCTTCCTTCCTTCATTTTGGGTGTTGGGTATTTTGTCTTACCAGTGAGAGAAAAGTAAACAATACATAAATGTGTGTGTGTATATATATATATATATATATTTTTTTTTTTTTTTTTTTTTTTTTTTTTTTCCTTTTTGCATTTCCTTTCCTTTGGATGTGGTGGTGCCCACCTGTCAGCCCAGTACTTAGAAAACTGAGGCAGGATCGCCATGAGTTCAAGGCCAGCTCAAACTATATAGTAAAACTGTGTCAAAAATAAAGAGATCTTCAGGAGCTTTTCTGTCGCTTGGCAGAGTCTCAGACAGAATCTCTCTTCAGCACTGCTTCTGCCCCGCTCTCCTGTCTCCCCGGTGCTCTGAGAGTGCGCGCCTCACCTCTGTCCATGGCGCCAAACGTGTCTGAGGGTCTCTTTATACAGCCCCGCCCCGTGCTGCAGGGTAGGTGCAGTTCGTCTGTCTTTGCACTATCCTCTCAGTTGTGTCTGACATGTTAAACCTCCCTATTGGGCTGTTTTTTCTAAAGTTCCTCGGTACATTGTAGGTGAACATAACCATCACAATCATCATAGGGAATTTGTTCCTGTGTGTGATACATCTTCATTCTCTTTCCCTCCAGTCCCCTAGCCTCCTTTCAGCCTTCTTCCACTCCCTATTTACAGAAGCCTTATTTCCATTTTTTCTTTTCCCTGCCTTCCTTTCCCCTTAGTTGCCCTTCCCATTTGAACATTTTTTTCCTGTTTCATATTATCTGTTATATATTTTGGTCCTTATTTACACTTTTGGTTTCTTACACCAGAGAACGTATGTAGTATTTACACGTGTGTCTACTTTAGTTCGCCTAAGAGTAGGTTCCCAGGGTACATCCATTTACCTAGAAAAGTCTCAAGATTATCCTTCTTTATGGCCATGTAGTACTCCATTGCATAAAAAACTACGTCTTCTTTATCCATTCATCGGTTGATGTGCATTTGGGCTGTTTTCAAGATTTAGCTATTACAGACTGTGTCACTGTAGACATAGGTGTGCATATACCACTGTGGCATGATGCTTTTAATTCTTTTGGGACAATGCCAAGAAGGGGGAGGAGCTGGGTCCAATGCGACCTTTGGTCCTAGTTCTTTGAGGAATCTCCACACTGATTTCCACAGTGTTGCACCAGTCTACATTCCCGCCAACAGTGGAGAAGGGGTCCTTTTTCCTGATGGTTCTACCAGCAATGTAATTGATTGGCTTCTTTTTTTGTTTTTTGTTTTTTGTTTGTCTCTTTCCTTTTTATTGGTACCGGGGATCAAACTCACGACTGCCTGCTTGCAAGGCAGGTGCTTATGCCGCTGAGCTAAACCTCCAGCCCCCTTGATTGGCTTCTTGATAATGATCATTTATTCTGGAATGAGACAGAATCTCAGCATTGGTTTAATTTGCGTCTCTTGAATGACCAATGCTGGTGAACATTTTTTCATATATTGCTGTTTTTACTTCTTCATGTGAGAATATCTGTTCATTTTGGATACTGTTTCTGAATTGCGTATTTAAATTTGATGGATCTGATTTTTTTGAGTCCTTTATTTTATATTTTGTTTTTATTTTAAGGAGAATTCTTTATGTTTTACATACTAGTACTTTGTCTGAAAAGACAACTGGCAAAAATTTTTCCCACATTGTAATTGTCTCTTCACTTTGTTGTTGATTTTTGCTGCTATGCAAAAACTTTTTTTTTTTTTTTTTTTTTTTTTTTGGTCTTTTTCCTTTTTATCGGTACCGGGGATCGAACCCACGACTGCCTGCTTGCAAGGCAGGCGCTTATGCCGCTGAGCTAAATCCCCAGCCCGCAAAAACTTTTTAATGAGTTGAGAATCCAGTTGTTGATAATCTGTGACGGTTCCTGTGCCATTGGGGTTTATTCATGAAGTCTTTGCATATACTAATGTCTTCAGAAATTCTACCTATTCTATATTCCAGCAGATTTCATGTTTCTGTTTATTGGATGGCCTTTGGGGGAGGCCAGGGTCTTGGTGTGTAGCCCAGGCTGGCCTCGAACTCAGTGATCCTCCTGCCTCAGCTTTTCAAGTACTGGGATTACAGGCATGCACTACCACCATACTCAGCTTGTTTGTGTTTTAATGTTTAGATCTTTGATCCATTTCAGTTTTAGTTTGCAAAAGATATGGGTCTGTTTTTAGTCTTTGGCATGGGAAAAGCCAGTTTTCATTTATTGAAGAGGCTGTCTTGTGAAGGTGTTTGGCTCCTTTGTCAAAAATGAGGTAGCTGAGTGTGTTTGGGATTGGTCTGTTTTTGTTTTGTCTTAGCACAGTAGTTTTATAGTATAATTTCAAGTCAGGGGTTGAGGTGCACTGCTTTGCTGGGTAACAAAGTGTTACCCAGAATTGCCTTTGCTATTCTGGGTCCTTCTGGTTC